ACAACTGACCTGGAAAGCAGGGTGATGTTAGCTGTATAAACCACCCCAAATCTAGCAGGAAAAAACAAAACTACAGTCTCTTATCACTATTATCTCTCATAGTTCTGAGAGTTGATGGGGCTCAGCTCGTTGGTTCTCACTCAGATGTGCTCACACAGTTGCAGTCAGACAGTGGCTGGGGCTGGCATCATCTTCAAGGTTTCCTCACTCATACCTGGTGCTTGTTGCTGGTCAACATTTGGGACTGCAGCTGGACTATTGCCTGGAATACCTGCAGGCCCCTCCATCTACACTGAACTTTCTTACAGCACTACAGCACTACGTCTGAGTTCCAAAAGCAAATGTCCCAAGAGATTGCAAGACAAAGAGAAGGAGAGAGGGGGAGAAGGAGGAGGAAGGGTTGGAGAAGGTGGAGGAGGAGGAGGAAGGGAGGGAGGGAGGGAGGGGGAGAGAGACAGAGATATATATCAGGTAGAAGCTCTATTGCCTTTTTATTTGTTTATTTTTATTTTTAGAGAGAGGCTTTGTTTCTGAAACTTTTTATTTGGAATTGTTTTTAATTGTTATTTTGGAATAATTTTACATCTACAGGAATGTTACAAAGGAAGTAAGGAGGGTTTCTGTATATCCTTCATCCAATTTCTCCTAATGTTATATCTTTCCTTACTATGGTCAAAACTATGAAACCAACATTGGTTCATAAATATTGAACTCCAGACTTTACTAAGATTTCACTAGCTTTTCCATTAATGTCCTTTTTTTGTGTGTTTGTGATCCAACCTAGCATTCACACTGCATTTATTCTCATGTCTCTGTAATTTCCTCTGGTCTATGACTACTTCTCAGTTTTGAGGAATACTAGTCAGTTATTTTGTACAATGTCTCTCAAACTGGATTTGTGTGATGTTTTTTCTCACAATTAGATTGAGGGAATAGGTTTTTGGAAAGACTACTGTGGTGAAGTGCCCTTCTCAACACATCACACCTAAGGGTACGTGATACCCATGTGATATCACTGATGATGCTAACTTTGATCACCTGGGTAAGGGGTAATGTTTGCCGCATTTCTACCCAGTAAAATTGCTATTTTTCCCTTTTCATCTTCCATTCATTGGAAGCAAGTCATTAAGTCTAACCCACTATTAAGGGAGGAGGTGGCTAAATTCCACCACCTGGAGTGAGCAGTATTTGAAATTCCTCTGTCTGGAAGATTTGACTCTCCTCCCTTGTTTACATATGTGAAGATTAAGATTTCACTAGCTTTTCCATTAATGTCCTTTTCTTATGTTGTTGTTCATGATCCAGTCCAGCACTAGTCTATGACAGCTTGGAATTCTTCTGTCTGGAAAGATTTGTGTGTGTGTGTAGATACACACACACACACACACACACACACACACACACACATACACTCTCTCTCTCTTATATATCACTGTGGACTTGTGTATATTTATTGTATACTTTGGGTTATAATCCAATACTATGTTATTTTATTGCACCAATTTTTCCAGGTTTGGGAATTGGGGGTTTCTTTAGTTTGGGTCCAGTGTCCCTTTGACAAGCCCCCATTCTTTAAGTTTTTAATCACTTCCTTACATTCTGTGTACATTCCTTGCAAGAGGCCCCAGGTTCACTTGTATTGTTCCAACCCTAGTCCTGGAGTCAGTCATTTCTATAGGAGTCCTGGTTTCATTTATTAGAGAATGGTACTGTATTGTCTTTTACGACCTGGCCTCATCACATAGTGTCTGCTGGTTGACAGAGTCACATAGGTCCACCCAGGTTCAAGAGGGAAGAAGGGACACAGACTCCATGTCTTAATAGGGAAGTGGGAAGGTGACTTTTTAAGAATAAACTCAGATAGGAGATACTGGTATGGGTATTTTGAAAATACCAGCTGTCACAGGTGGTCTGAGTATTTCAGTGAGGAGGTGAAATTTGAGCAAAGGCTTAGAGGAGGTGAGAAAGCCAGTGATATGGATATCTGTAGGAGTGTTTCAGGCAGTGGTAACAGTTAATGCTAAGATCTTACAGTGAGACCATACCTGGTGTTTTTAAAGAACAGCAAAGGGGCCACTGTAGCTAATGAAGAAGGCCTGATGTAAAGAGTCATAGAAGGTGGGGATGAAGAGGTAAAGAGGGCAGATTATATGGAGTCCAGAGGATGTTGTGAAATTTAACTGAACAGTCATTGCAGGGTATGGAGGGGAAGATTTATTACCTGATTTATATTGTAATTATATTTTATATTTTGAAATGGTCACTGCAATGGTTAATACTGAATGTCAACTTGATTGGATTGAATGATACACTGTATCAATCCTGGGTGTGTCTGTGAAGGTACTGCAAAAGGAGATTAACATTTGAGTCAGTGGGCTGGGAAAGGCAGACCCACTGGGTGGGCATACTGGGTGGGCACAATCTAATCAGCTGCCAGCAAGGCTAGAATATAAGCAGACAGAAAAATGTGAAAAGAGTGACTGTCCTATCCTCCCAGCCTACGTCTTTCTCCATTGCTGGATGCTTCCTGACCTCAAACATTGGACTCCAAGTTGTTCAGTTTTGGAACTCAGGCTGGCCCTCCTTGCTCCTCAGCCTGCAGATGGCCTGTTGTGGGACCTCGTGATCATGTCAGTTGATACTTAAGAAACTCCCCTTTATATATATATTCCATTAGTTCTGTCCCTCTAGAGAACCCTAATACAGTCACTGTTGCTACTCTGCTCAGAATTGACTTCAGGGGAAAAGGGCAGAAGGAGGGGAAACCAGTTAGGATGCTATGCAGCAATCTACACTGAGGTGATGGCAGCTTAGGACAGGGTGATAGCAGGGGAGGTGGTATGAAAGTAGTTGGATTTTGAACATCTTCTGAAGCTAGAGGTAATAGAATTTCCTGCTAGATTAGAGATGGGGTATAAGAGAAAGAGGTAAATCAAGGATGACTTCAAAGTTTGGGCCTAAGAAATACAAAAATAAGTTGCCATCACTTGAGATGAAGAAGTCTATGGATAGGGGAAAGATCAGGAGCTTATTTGTGGAAACGCTGCTTTCCAGACATTTATTAGACATCCAAGTAGAGATATCAGCTAAGCCATAGGTACACATATCTGGAGTTCAGGAAAGGTGGCTTAGATGTGATTGCATGTAGACTTAAGGTCATAATGAGATCACAAGGAAGTAAGTAAGGACAGAATTGAGGACCGATCCTTCAAGATTAAGAAAAAGGAAACTTCAAAATAGACAGAGAAAGTAAACAAGAAAATATGATGAGAACCAAGTAGGTGTGGTGTTATGGGGAGAAAGTGAAGAAAGAATGTTAGGGAGGATCATCCACTGTCAGATGATGTTATTCAATTTAGTAAGAGGAGGACTGGGAATATGAGCATTGGATTAGACAATGTGGAGGTCATTGATTTTCCTAAAAAGAACAATTTAAGAGGAATCACAGGGGCAAAAGGCTGAGCGTAGTGGTTTTAAGAGAGAACATGAGGAGAGGAATTGGTGACGGAAATCTCTTTGAGGAATTCTGCTGCAAAAAGAATAAAACAGTAGCGTGCTGACTTGGTGGAGGGGGGACAAATGAGTTCAGGAGAAGGTTTACATGCCCATGGGAATAAGCCAGCAAAAAGGAAAAGGCTGATGACTTAAGAGAGAGGTGGCAACCCTTGCATAGGTGAGGGATCCTGGGGTCTGTTGCCCAAGGAATAGATGAGTAGAAGCACACGGCAAGTCCTCTGATGCCAGTGGGAAGGCAGAGTGTGTGGGTGCAGATGCTGATGAGTCAATGTGGTGGTGGGATTCGCTGAAATTCTCTTCTGATTGATTCATTTTTTTCATTGAAGTAGGAAGCAAGGTCAGTAGCTGAGAATGACAATGTGGGGTGTATTGGAGATTTGAGGAATGAGAGAAGGGTATCCAATAGGCACCTTATAGGGTGGGAGAGTGAATGGATGAGGGACATACAGTATGAATTCCTGGCAGCATCATGGGGCTACCTGAGGGTCAAAGTGAGGTTAGTCAGCGTGGCTGTGCTTTTCTCTAACCACCTTCAAGGGCTGGTGCTGAGTAGGCAGATATGGATCTAAACAGTGTGGATGAAACAAGATGTAGGTAATGGAGATGAGGACGTAAGCAAGGGAGAGATTACAATGACTAAGCTGAGTAGGAAGGATACTGAGGACACAGTAAGGGGGTGAAAGACAATGACATGTGTAGAACCTTTGAATTGAATGTTTTGGTGGCCAAAAAGAAGAGTGTCATACATGAGGGCTAACTTTTATCCTGAGTGACCCTGCCTACTAGTAAAATTCAGTTTTTTTGAATATACCAATCAGATAACTAGTTCCTGCTCCCTTGAGCTGAAAAACTTCCTAGGAAAAAGGAGATAAGCTTGGAGTGGGAAGAAAGAAATACCTACTTCACCAATAATATTCACAAAAATTAGGCAAGTTAATAAATGTTCCTTGCGTAGTAAATGCCAACCACTTAGAGTCCCTTCTGTGCCTTAGTTACCTCATCTACAAAAGGGCAAAAAAGGGTGTTAACTCCTAGGTCGTTGTGAGGCTTAATAATGTTGGCAAACTGCTTAGCACAGTTTTGCAATTTAGCAAGCCACATGCTAATTTTTGACAATTCTAGGATTGACGTTTTCATTTCAGATATGTGTGATCTTCATGGCTGAACCATGTTGTGTTACCAAAGACTCTGAATATTTTTCAAATAATTTATTTCCTTTAATTTTGGAAATATTACATATTAACTGCATAAAAATCTAGCTTTTAACTTTATGTTCTGTTCTGTTTAAGCTTTTCTAATAGTTTATAATTAGAAAACAAAAGTTAACCCTAGAAAAATCAGGGATGGAATCTTGAGCGAATCAAGTAAAGGGAAATTTTAATTTAGATATTATTCATCTTTGAAGTTAAAATTTTCATAGGTAGAATCTTTTAAATCATAGAATATGTTTAGTTTGTTTTGAGAAAGTAAAAGGAGTAAAAGTGTCACTTTTCTACATTCCTCTTTTATTGGCATGTCCTATATGCTCAACACTCATTCATTCATTCATTCACCAAATAATTACTGAGCAACAACTATGTTTTGAAGCCATGGAACAGGCCACAGGGGATTACACAATGTGAACAAGTGGATATAAACTCCACTTTCATGGGGGCTGGTAGTTTAGTGGGGTAGGTGGACAATTAAAGAATCCCACTCTAACAGTCCAGGTTTTTAATTGCAAAAGACAGAAACCAACTCTGGTTACCTCTGGAAGAGGTACTTTCAGAACACTGCTGTGTACCCACAGACACCACAGAGCATTTGAACCTATAAAATAGAGCATTACTAAGAGGGTATGGGCTCCTGAGCTGGGTTAAAACCTGGTCAGGGCATTCCTGTTGCCCTTGCTGAATACTGCCACTGAAATCACTGCCACCATAGGACATTAATGCAGCCATTGTGCTGTCTCCACCATGGCCATATGAACTGTAAGCTGCCCTTGCTCCTTTAATGCACTTGTTCTATATTCATCAACCAGCAGCAGTGTCCAATTGTCTGGGCTTATGTCTTAAGCCCATAGCCTTACTGTTGTGTTGAGGAGGGTAGGTATCTGACTTTTTGTTTTTCTGTGCTGGGATGTAGAAAATGCTGGCCAACTGTATTAGTATGTTCTCACGCTGCTATGAAGAAATATCTAAGGCTGGGTAATTTATAACAGAAAAAGGGTTAATTGACTCACAGTTCTGCATCACTGGGAGGCCTCAGGAAAATTATAATCATGGCCGAAGAGGAAACAAACATATTCTCTTCACGTGGTGGCAGGAGAGAGAAATGCTGAGCAAAGAGGCAAAAGCTCCTTCTAAAACCATCAGATCTCATGAGAACCCACTCACTATCACAAGAACAGCAGTGGGGTAACTGCCCCCAAGATTCGATTACCTCCCACCAGTTATCTCCCATGACACGTAGGGATTATGGGAACTGCAATTCAAAAGAGATTTGGGTCAGGACACAGCCAAACCATATCAGCAACCAAACAAATACAGTTAGCACCCACAATACACACACACACACACACACACACTCACTCACACACAATTATAATGATTGTTAAATGCTTTGAAGGGGCACTGGCATTGGGAGACAAGTTCAGCTGACTCACAACAAAAGTTCACTATACTCGGGGTACTTCAGTCTTCTCTCTAGGGCTTGAATTGCTGGTGACTGTCTCTGGTGTGTTTCTCATACCTCAGTCATTCCCAGGTTTCCTTCCCATGTGGCCATATTTGTGAGCCATCTGTATGCACATTTACAACTGCTCTATCTTAAATACATCTACTTTATATATCAGCCTATAAATGAAAAGCCAGGATCATTTGCCATAAATAGAAGGTAAAAGTAAGAATAAATGTAATGAAAGGAAATAAAGCTAGGAAGACTTAGCCAGATACTTTGCCAAAGGTTCTGAGGCTGGAGCACACTTTCAGCAAATGTTAGTTATTGAAAACATAACGGGAGCATGCAGCGATCTGATCCTTGACTTTACTGTCTAGTTTTTCTAAATTAAAAAACGATGGAAAAGGGACACACTTTTTCAAACTTCGTATTTTGGTGCTTTTAAAAATGCTCTCTGGGCATGATTTAAAATTACCTTTCATACCACTAGCAAGTACCATGTTCCATGCTTTAGGTGACAACTATTAGAAAGAATGTGATAAGTATTAGAAAGATATGGGATTAAAAATGGGCAAGGCTTTTGTTTGAATTTCAGCTCCCTCACTTATTAACTCTGTGATTTTCAGCACATTTGCTGAGCCTCACTATACTCATCTGTAAAAAGAATGCAATAATACTAATTTTCCTGATGTGTTAAATAGATCAGTATTGCCCAACTATATTTTGCATATGAGTCACCTGGTGGTCTTGTTAAAATGTGGATTCCAATTCCATAGGTCTGGAGTGAGGCCCGAGATTCTGCCTTTTTAATAACATCCTAGGTGATGCTGATGCTGCCATTTTGCGGATCACACGTTAACTCACAAGTGTATGATTCTCTGCTGTTGATATGGTAGCCATCAGCCACGTGGCAGTTGAGCCCTTTAAATGTGGCTATGGACCTATGAAAATCTTTTTTTTTCTTTTACTTAATTTCAATTTATTTTAAAAAGCTGACACTTCAGTTATTAAAAAGCAATTTTTAGTATACTTGAAACAACTTGTGAATCTATCTTTTCAGCTGTTAATTTTATAAAAATTAAATAACCAAATATGTATTTCTAATGAAAATTTAATGTTTGAATTGAGATATGCTATAAGTGTAAAATACCTGAGTTTGAAGATTCTGTTAAAAAGAATGCAAAATATCTTGTTAATAAATTTTCTATTGATTGCATGGTGAAATTATAATATTATGGATACGAGTTAAAATATATTATTGATTTTATCTATGTCTTTTTACTTTTTCAATGCAGCTACTAGAAAATTAAAAATTACTTATGTGGTTCACATTATATTCCAATTGGACCATTCAGGCATGGACCAGTAAGCATAGGGCCTGGCTCCCCTCTCAGGGCCTTCTTCCTGTCTAAATTGGGTGAGTGACCTCTGGCTGGAAAGATGAAGTGAGGTGGTGGAAAGAGACAAGGTTTCTTCCTTCCCTGCAGAAGGCTGTGGCAAAAAGCCAACATTCACAAGTTTTTCGGTTTACAGACTATTTCTTCTGTGGTGGGTTATTTCCACTGCATTCCGAAGCAGGCTCTGCTTTTTGAAGAGGTAAAAAAGAAACATGTCAGCAGTCTGAAGTGAACTGCTCAAAGCTGGCTCTCATAAGAAGATGCTCACTTTCCAAGAGTTAAGGGTCACAGCAAAGGGTCCTCTCAACCCCACCTCCTTGGCGACATTAAGGGGAGATAATTAAAACAGAATGGGCTCCTGCAAATGTGGTGCATTATCTCCTGGTTGACTCAGCAATTCCACAGGAGACTGAAAGTTTAATGTAGAGCAGTAGGAAAGACATCTGCAAATTTGACAATAACCACGAAGTTTGCAAAAAGAAGTATAAAGGAATGAAAGTTCTTTCTCATGTCATAAATTACTATATGGTATCCTTGCTTCCTCACTCTTGTTTAAAAAAAAAAGGTTTTTTTCCACCAACTCATTTAAATATTTATGTGTAGAATCAGACCTGGCAGCAAATTCAAAGAAAACTATTAAGGATGGCAAAAGTTCCTTCTGTATCAGAGGCCTTGAGACTCCAGGTCTCAATTCACCTTTCTAAATAGGAACTGACAGCCTTGAATAGAAAATCAGAGTTGGGGAGTGGAGGGGAGACTAAAATGTTTTTGAAGAATGTTTGACTACAAAGTAAACAGTCTGGATAGAAAATATTAAATCACATGCTGCCTCCACATTCCATAAAACTGTATATACACTAAAATGTACTAAACAGTTAAAAGACATGGATAAAAGAAATCATAAAACAATTTGAGTTTTGTGATGATCCAAACTTCATGGAATTAGTTGTGTTGGCGTTAAGACGGAGTTTTTTTTTTTTTCCTAATTATGTTAGATCTTGACATGAAGTTGTACAGATGGCATTGAAGACACAGAGATATTTATCTTTAAGCTTTCTTTTCCTTTCTGTCATCAGATTGACCCATGAGTACATATTTACTAAACATATTATTTATTTCAGGCATATTACTTCATTTTGCTAATCAAAATGTTATCAGTATTATTTTGCACAAAATAGCATGCTACTTATTATTCAAGATTTATTTTGCTTTAGATGACAGCAAAAGGAAAGTGAGCTTAGCAAATTCACAGCATAATCAAGATTGTAAGGGGAGAGGTTTAAATACTAGAAAACAACATGCCAAAAGCGCCCATTTATAAGCCAATGTTTCATTGTCAGTTTCCAAAATTTAGTATCAAACACAGCTACGTTCTCCATTTAAGTGATGTTTATATAACTAAAAGCAATACAATCCCCTATCTCAAAGAATCCGGTTAATCAGATAAGTCTTTCCCATTAGCTTGTGTTAGACAGATTTTTACTGTATTTTAAACAGCTGTAACTCAATAAATCTTGAAGAGTAGGGAATTCAGCACTATTGCTTACCTTATGAGTTTGTAGATCATGAAGAAATACTGTCTCTCCTGCTTCATTGTAGCAGCTGTTTTCAGTCTGGGCTCTCCATTTTTCCCATATAGCAAAACCTCGTCCGTCTCTCAATTCTTGTCCGTGGACTTTCTTTGATATTCTTTAACCCTGGGTCCCCAGGTTTGTTGAATTTAACCTTTCACCATACCCTGTTTGACATCATTATTGCACTTATTGTGGTATTATAATTGTTCCTGCATCAGTCTCAGATACGGGGAATTCTTTCTCATCTTGGTTCTCCATCTGCCTAGAATAGTTCCTGGATAGGGCAGACGTGCAATGGTTTCTGAAACAGAATCCAAAGCATCACTTTGAGTTAATAGAATAACAAGGCTGCTTGCTACTACAATGCTGCCTTGCCATTGCCACTCAACTTGGGTCTTCCACACTTGTCCCTTGGGTCTACTGTCATTTGATGCGCTTCCTGTTTAGCGTACACCATCTGCCTCTCTCTGATGGAGAAATGACTTCTCTGTTTACGCCCTTCTCTCCAATTATGAGGGTCTCACAGAAGAATGGCTTGGGCCACTGCTTATTATGCTTCATTTTGTAGCCCTTTTGGAAAGGAGGCAGACTTTACCATATAGCTGCAGAGGACATTAATCACACAGCATTTTAACTCTCACTTCTTTTCTCAGGGACAGCCTCATTGTGAACCAAGATCTTTTGCTCTCTTCCTCTCAACCAGTCTGGTCAGAGATTGATGGCTCATGCCTTGTGCCTTCATATATACATACTTTTTTCTTAAAGTGTTTCTTGTACCACTTTACAATTTAAATTGCAGTGGGCCATTTGAAATCCATCAACTGAATGGTAAATGTCTGAAACCTCAACTGCGTATAGTTCCAATGGTTTGGCTAGATATGAATTATGGTATACACACACAGAACACAAGCTTCCAAATAATACACCAAAATTTTAAGTCTGTGTGATGGGCTTAACAGTAGTTTTCTTTGTCATCATATACTTTGCCAATTTAATAGTGACCATAGATTTGGGCATGTTTCATAACAAATATAACACAAAATCTCCCATATAAAATGGTTTCCAATTCAATGCTGAAAGCAATGTTCCAAAATAGAAAGTGTAAAAAGTATAAAAAGCTAAAATGTTTTTAAAAGTAAAGCTATTAGCTATAATTTCTTTTGGGTTTATTTTCAAATGAATTCAATTAGTCTCACGGTAAATCTCAAAAAAGCTTTATCTTTTTTTGAGACAGAGTCTCAGTCTGTGGCCAAGGCTTGAGTGCAGTGACTTTAGTAGAGGCGGGGTTTCTCCATGTTGGCCAAGCTGATCTTGAACTCCTGACCTCAAGTGATCCACCCGCCTCAGCCTCCAAAAGTGCTGGGATTACAGGTGTGAACCATGAAGACTGGCCTCAAAAGAGTTTTATATTTTTATACATACTAATAATGCCTCAATTAGCACAGATCCAATTGTGAATTACCCATGTTACTTGCTTTCCAACTTATTTGGGCTGTTTCCCTTTCCAGCAACTGGAGAGGGGAAGAAAAGAATGCAGAAACAAAATAATTTAATTTGTTCATTTGTTATTTGCATTAAGTAATGTTTTGGAGAAGACTGAAAGTATCTACAAAAGTGAATCTATTATTTGTGGGTCTTCCAGTTCCACGGTTAATTGAGAGCCACTATGAAGTGTTTTCCTATAGCCCAAACCAAATTTACAACTTTCGGAAATGCCCAAATATAAGGGTCAAGGTTGTGTGGGTTTCAAGCTCTGCCCAGGTTCTTCAGTTTTGAGAAAAGGAAAATTAGTAACACAGAATTCAATACTTTTCAGATGACCTCATTAAATTTGCTACAAACACTGAGGCAAAACTAAAGCTTATTAAACTAAAAAGTTTCTTGAAATTGTCAGAAAGTGATAAAAATCTACTTTTAGAAAACCATGAGTTACATATGTAGTTTGTAGAGGGGAGCATTGTTGGAAGGTTTGTTTAAAGAGAATTTACACTCATTTTATTTAAAAATAAAAAATAAAACTTCTAAATACCAAATATAAGGACAACCCTCTACATCTAGATTAAGCCCTAACCTTACTTTTTTACCAGGATCCTGGGCATGTCATAATTTCTCAGAGATCTTAACTCACTCATCTATACCAGGAAAGGCGTTAGTCTTAACTGATTTGTCTATACCAGAAAAATATGACTGTCTGGTCCAAAGTGCTGGTTCCTTATGGCTCTAAAATTTTATAAGAGGTTACAGGTTCCACATAAATGCCTATAGGGTCAGGCAGGTACCATGAGTGAAGATGACCAGAGAGACAAGAATTTTTCTTTAAAGTATATCCTCATAAATTTTTCCTTATTTCACATTTGATAGCAACAAAAATATTTCACTTTCCTACCATGACTGAAACAATAATAAATGATTACCAACACTGATATATGACAGTGGCACAGAGATCATAAGGAGTGCTGGGATAGTGGCAAACTAGAGAGGGTAGGAAAAGCACTAAGTTATTGTTATTATATGGGAATGAAGGCCTAATGCTGCCAGATGTCAAAAAGTGTGGATGTCTTTGGTGAAATCCAATTTTCTATGTAGGCAATCAATGAAAAACATAAAAGAAAAGAAAAAAAAAGACAAATCTTGTGAGGTATTACCATTCTGGCCAAGTCAAGCACATCGATGGATTAGATAGGACTCACATGCCACTAGTTTACAATACCTGATTTACTTTGCCTCCCTCATCGTACTAGGAGCAGCACATATTAAATAACTTGCTAGTCGTAGTCAATGAAAGTTTTTTTTTGTTTTTGTTTTTGTTTTTTTTTTTTGAGACAGAGCCTCACTCTGTTCCTCACTCTGTTGCCCAGGCTGGAGTGCAGTGGTGTGATCTCAGCTCACTGCAACCTCTACCTCCCATGTTCTAGCGATTCTCCTGCCTCAGCCTCCTGACTGGCTGGGATTACAGGTGCATGCCATCATATCTGGCTAATTTTTGTATTTTTAGCAGAGACAGGGTTTTGTCATGTTGTCCAGGTTGGTCTTGAACTCCTGACCTCAGACAATCTGTCTGCCTTGGCCTCCCAAAGTGTTGGGATTACAGGTGTGAGCCACCGCACCAGGCCAAAAGTTCTTTTCTTTCTTACCACAGTATGTTTACTGAGTCTGTTTTACAGGCTATCCTGTACTAGGATTTCCTGACTCTTCATCTTATTTGTTCATCGCAATGCTAATGCGATGAACATTAGGCAGATAAACTGTTAGCTTCATTTTACAGATGAAAGATAAAGTTCATAGAGACTGAATAACGTGTTCTGACTCACACAACTAACATGCAGCATTAAATCTAGAATACTGACATGGAAATATTTACAATATTATGCTGAATGAAAAGAGCAGGCTATAAAATGTATGATTTTTAAAGTTTTAAAAAACATTTTAAATAACTGCATGTTATTTCATCATGAAGATACACTAAAATAGTGTTAAACAAGCTTCGATTATTACTTATTTTGCTATTAAAATCATGTAGGAAAGCATTTTTTAAAAGAACTTGATTTCATTCATTTATTTAAAATCATTAACTGATCACCTGTCATTTTATTAGATGCTGTTCTCAAAGGGATGTCTGACTCACAATGTATTTCTGGGGAGTAAAGTTTATACTTCAGAAAAAAAGAAAGAAAAAAGCCACAGGGCTTTGAAATTTAAGCAGGTATTCAGATTAGCCACAGACATTTTTAAGATACTTAAGCAATCACCTTTGAATCAATGATCATGTCCCCAGTTACATCCTCAGTCTCCTGGACTTCAGGCGAAAAAAGGTAGGCTTCCGCCAAACAGCTTAGTCTGGAGAATTGCACAAGGGATTGCAGCAGTTTTCTTTGCTAGAGGCTTTATTGAGATTAACTTTTGAGAGTTACTCTTATTAGAATATACTTGGGAACCTCCTTGTCACCTACACGATGAGAAAAAGTGGCTCTGCATCTTTTCTCAATTTTCCACTTGTCATAGCAGGATTCTAAATTTCACAATTTCAAAATAACAGCTGCCAGGTTGCAGACAGAGGGATACAGACACATTGGAGAATAAGGATAGAAATGACGATAGAACTTGAATCATTTTTTAATTTTTATTTTTTTTGAGACAGTCTTGCTGTTGCCCAGGCTGAAGTGCAGTGGCACAATCTTGACTCACTTGTAACCTCCGCTTTCTGGGTTCAAGCGATTCTTATTAAGCTAATTTTTTTGCATTTTAGTAGAGACAGGGTTCCAAAGTGCTAGGATTACAGGCGTGAGCCACTGCTCCCGGCCCAGATTGCTCTTAATTATAGTGGGATGGCAGGCCTGTATACCAAGTCTATCCCTGGTAAATGGGGACATATGGGCACCCCACTAGGATGTTCTATGTTCTTGAAGAACAGCTGTAGAAACTGGAGATGTTGAGCAAGGAAGAGAAGATGGGAATGAAGTTTGGGGGCTGAGGGACTTGCAAGGTACCTTTATGTACCTGAAAAACTGCAAAGAACTGGTTTAATAGGATTTTGAAAGTTAAGAGTCACTGGACCAAGCTATTTTTGATTTACCATTTCAGATACAGTGAAATGGTCATGAGTTTGGTTGTTGAACAATTCTGGATTCAAATCCCAGATGATACGAACTAGCTATGTGGTCACAGGCAACCTCTTAACTTCTTTATTGTAAGAGAGGGGTAGACTTGTAATGACTTACTGAGGTAAAATACAAAAGCAAGAAACCCAGAATAGGGGCTCAACAAATCAGTTTGTGCACTGTAACTATAGTTAGATATGGTACAGGAACAGACTGCCAGTTGGGTATGCTATGGGATCTTTTAGGGGTTAACTGGATGGTTGGAGCCAATATTTTTTGATCAATTTGACTTAGAAATTGTTCTTAGAGACAACAACAAAAAAATCAACTAGTAATTTTTCCCAGGCACAAGGTGATTTTATATGAACATCTAATTTTAAAGATGTTTACTCTTACTTAAATGATTAATATTCATCATAAAATCTGACATTTTCCTGCCAAGTGATACATGCTGTTTACTTTCAACTATGCCAAAAAGTACAATATATTAGAAATAAACTTTAAAAAGGCATATTGCTTGATTTTGATACTGTATCTATAGACTAGATGGCTTTGGTCACAGGCCAGGGGGCAAAAAATATGTAGAGAGGCTAGAATTTAAAAGTAAACTTTCATGACCTGATTTTGAAATCCTTTCATTTTGCTTTCATAAGACCAACTAGTTTTTGTTTTAAATTTGGTCATAATTTCCTTTTTTTAAAAAAATGAGATGAAGACATTTTTAACCTGGTATAAATAAACTTCCACCAAAAATTTAAGTTTTTAGTAACAATAAACTAAAACAAAAACAAAAAACCAAAAAACTAGGCTTGGCAGGGCAGAGTGGCTCACACTTGTAATCCCAGCACTTCAGGAGGCTGAGATGAGAGGAATGTTTGAGGCCAGGAGTTTGAGAACAGCCTGGGCAACATAGTGAGACTCCCTCTCTATAAAAAGTAAAAAAAAAAAAGTTGGCTGGGTATGGTGGCACGCACCTGTTGTCCTAGCTACTCGGCTGAGGCAGGAGGATCACTTGAGCTCAGAAGTTCGAGGCTGCAGTGAGCTAGAACTGTACCCTGTCTCTAAAAAGAAGAACAAAAACCAAAGTTTAATATACTGACCTGTGTACTTTAACGCTCATTAACTTCTTGCATTTCATCATTGTGTTCTCAATGCTTCCCTGTTTCACTCAGTAGTTCCCTAGGTGTGGCCACATATTAGAATCATTGGAAATTTTTTAAGCAACAGTGCTCACTCAAGCCACACCCTCGACCACAATGCTTGAGCTGGGAGCCTGGTACCAGTATGTTTTACAGTTCTCCCTAGTGACGCCAATGTACAGCAATGTTTGGGAAGTACTGATCTACCCCATGGATCATTATGGGAATGAAGATATGACGAGGAACAAAAGAGCAATGAAAGCTGGGTAATGGTCCCAAACCATCAGAGTAGCTCTAGCGTTCAGTTAAATGATAAATAATAAAAAACTGAGTGACTGGATCACTAGCACACTCATTTATTTACCACCCAGAAGATAGCAAGCTGCTTCTTTTTAGAAGGTAAAAAGATTCTATTATTGACTAAAAACAGAAAAAATGGAAATGGATGCAAATACTATTATTCTAATGAGATGAATTTCCTGGGTAGCCATCATAATGCCTGGTATTTATGACCCGGTTGGGACTTGAGGGTCTTTTTCAACTTTGGAAATTTTTATTTAAGCCAAACATCCTGGGGTAGACAGAACGGTTCTTCACAGAATTGTTTCAGTTGCCCAGTCAATAGGCTTACCATGCACTGTGCTTTATAATTGTTAAAAGTGTTTTCACACTTTCAAGTTCATCTTAACTTCTAAAGCAGGGCAGAAATTGCAATACTCATATCCTGTTGAGAAAACTGAGAGCTCAAGATATTAAAAGCTGGTATAAGAGTTGGAACCATTTAGAACCCAGTTCTGGTGAACTGCTAGTTCTAAAGTGTGCCTCTTCCTACACCTCAAGAGATCCACTCTTTGAGCCTCAACACCTTCTCCTGGAGAGGTGATTTTCCTTTGGAAAAAAACCAGCACTTTTTTTTTTTTTTAACATATCTGTTGCGTCGAGGAAGGAGAGGCAGGGTGGTGCAAGCACTGTGAAGAGATGTAAGTACAAAAGGGGCCTTGAGGAATTTACAGGAGCAGGAAGAACATGTGAACACATAATGTGCTGATAGCAATGGAAAAAGAGAAGCAAGTGACAACTATGTGAGGTTAGAGTTGTTAAGGAGCAAATGAAGAGCCATTCATAGCTTCGTTGAGGTATCTGCTCCAGTTGGCCACCTCACTCCTGCTGTGACTGACCTAGATGGCTTTGCCTTCTTCAGGTTATGTTACCTTGGTACCCAAACCTGAACCACCTTCAACTTCATACCTGTCCTCAGCTTTACAGCATCTCAGTCTTGCTGGTGACCAAAATGTATACTCATGTCCTGGTTTTCCTCACTGATGCTCAAACTAGCCTTTGTCTCTTATTCTTTTCAGGAACATTCCTCATTGCATTTATTCCAAACCTTCATATGTCCCTCAAGGTCAGGATTCAGCACTCTAGAATGCACCTTTTCCATTCTCACTGTCAACAAAACCTATAGTTTTTCCACACTTTAGTAGACATCTGCCTCCTCTTGTCATTTTGTTTCTGACTTTAGGTACCAAAGAGCAGGATTTTACATGTATCTATATTAAACTATTGTTTTAGTCATCTCATCACATATCAGTTTGACTCCTGATTTTGTCATCTGGTTTATACTCAACCCTTCTCAGCTTAATGCTGCCCAAGACAGTGACGAGCTTTCCTTCTATTTCCTTATTGAAACAACTGTTTTACAGAAAATCTGGAAGACATGAACAAGACAGACCTACAAACACTGCTTTGAAACCACTAACAGACTGATATTTAATCCAATCATTCAGCCAATTAAGGGATCACCTAATTAAATGTTCTTTTATTCTACACATATCCAACAAATCCAAAAGTAGATGATGCCTTGAAATGCCATCAACTAGGTTTCCTGCTTTGCTATATTTCGTCTATGCTTTCAAGTACTGTTTCTTTTCTATTCTCTTCACTTTTGCTGTTAGCCTAGTCGATTCCCCCTATACCTCAGGCCTGTACAATTCAAAGTCTTAACTGGTGTCTACATCTCTACCCTCAGTCTCTTCAACCACCAGTCCATCTAACACATCCAAAACCTTCCCAATTCACCACTTTGCCCACCTTCCCTCCAGGAGAATGTTTTAAGATACTTTTTCTTAGCAAAGATATCTTTAAGATTATAAAAATCAGCACCTAATTTTTACAGACCAAGGGGAACCACTTATAAAGCAAACATTAATATAAAATGGCATCAAGACAGGTTAAAAATGGCTACAGTTTTCTTATTTTAAAAACGGATCATTTAAAATCCAATGTGCCAGTAGGGCTAAATATTATAGCATTAAGAATTTTGAATGGCCGGGCATGGTAGCTCATGAGGTCAGGAGATTGAGACCATCCTGGTCAACATGGTGAAACCCCGTCTCTACTAAAATACAAAAAATTAGCCAGGCATGGTGGTGCGTGCCGGTAGTCCCAGCTACTCGGGAGGCTAAGGCAGGGGAATCACTTGAACCTGGGAGGTGGAGATTGCAGTGAGCCAAGATTGCGCCACTGCATTCCAGCCTGGTAACAAAGTGAAGGCTTGTCTAAAAAAAAAAAAAGATTTTTCATCGAGGAAAATACTCTTTAAGAACAAAATAATTGAAAGTAAAACACCCTATTCTTTAGTCTCACAAGTTCCAAAACCAAAAAATACAGAGTATCTCACTAATGTTATATTTATTCATTCCAAATTATTTAGGAAACAAAGCAACAGGTTAAATTAACGGGCTATCTGTAAGACTTTGAATCATGTACCCATCTTAAAAAAGCACAAAATGATGAAATTCTCTACTCAAAATATGCTATTAAAAGCACCATTCTACTGAGTTTATCTTTGACTCTTCAGCTAGAGGAAGTCTGATCATGAGGAAAGCCTGGAACATACATCTTAATAGGTGATTCTGCCTCAGTCTTTTGACTTATCCTCCAGGAAGGTTGTGAAGATTCTTAAAGATCCTCTCAGAAGCATTTGATACCAGAAAAGTGCAATAAAGGAAATACTTAAGAGTTTAACAGACATTTTAACTGTTCAAAAATCTGGGCCTTGATTCAGGTTAACAAGATGCTAGTCCTGCAGTAAAGACCAGTGGCTACTGGTTTGGCCTCTTGAAATGGTCTGCCTCAAGTGTGAATCCCAGCTCTACTACCTAATCATGTGACCTAGAGCAAGTTACCTGAACTCCCTAAGCCAATTTCCCTGCTGTAAAACGGCAGAATGTTTACCGTGTTGTTTACATAATCCATGTAAAGTGTTTAGTATGTATCAAGTACTCTATAATTACTAATTTATGTTGAGACAATATCCCTTTTAATAACTAGGGAACGTTATCAGTGCTTATATCTAATGATCTGAAAACTGATTTGGAAAAAATGTGGTCTTTATAACCCTGAATTAAGAGAATCCCACGGATTCCCTGCCCTGAACCCAAACCCAGACTGTATGTTACTGATTTGGGAACTTGTTTTCCTAGGATGTAGTGGTGGTTAAGGAGGTTGTGCCAGAGACTGATGCTGTATAAGCACACATGCACATTTTTTTAACACTGATTCCCTACTTTGGAGCCATTACACTATACTGTTCAACAATGACACCTTGAACTAACATAAACATGTCTACTAAAATACTTTAGTAGGAAAAATGTTAAACAGTTCTTTGATGTAAAGCATAAAAGCAAACTCTCAACGGAGAGTTTAAGGGGTCAAGCTATCAATCGGCTGAGAAAGAAACTACCTGAATAAAGGTAATTTCTTTTCTTTGAGACAGGGTCTTATCTGTTGCCCAGGCTAGAGTGCAGTGGTATGACCACAGCTCACTATAGCCTCTATCTCTTGGGTTCAAAAGATCCTCTCACCTCAGCCACCCTGGGAATGAGGACTACCCACGTGCACCACCACTAGATAATTTTTAATTTTTATTTGTATTGAGATAGGGATCTAGTTTTGTTGCTCAGTTTGCCCTCAAATGATTGTCCAGCCTTGGCCTCCCCAGTGCTGGGATTATAAGCATGAGCCACAGTTCCTGGTCTGGTAATTTCCTTTGTGACACATATTGATAAGAAAAGTACAGAAACAACTACCAACTTATCTGAGCACATTAAACATTTTTTTACGGTATAAAAACACTTATTCTAAAAGAAAGATTATTTTTCAGATTTTTAGTGAGGTGGTATAATTACATCATTAAGAGTATCTTTTATTCTGGTCTACAAATGAGTGTTAACAGAGTAATTAAAAAAGACAAAAGTTGATGGGGGTTTGAGCATAAGAGTCTTAGAGTAGCACAGGTTAAAGAAAGAAGGCAGCTGCAATAAGACACAATCTTAAAGGCATGGGGAAAGAACAGTCAACATGCAAAGGCTTAAAGACACTCCCCTTTCTTCCTCAGCTAATTTTTACAAAGAGAACTTAATTCAAAATTCAATTCTAATACATAATACATATATAAAACCCAATTTGACAAAATGGAAAGTATCTTTCATGTCACAAATACGGTACTTAAGTATACTCAATAATTTACTAATGATTCACAGTAACTGAAAAATATGGTATTCATTGTCATTTAAAGTTTACTTAGTATTTCAACAAAGTTGCTAATTTATATTAATAGTTTATGATAAAAACCAACTAAGGGTAATTTTATTAATTTTTACCATAGAGTTAATTCAGATAACTGGTATTGACAAGCATGGATAATTTAATGGAAAAAAAAAAAAAAAAAAGCTCTTACATGTAATGTGAAAAACTAATCTGTTCTAAAACCAGATTACACTCCCACAGACTGCAGAAATGATCTACTGTGCTATAAGGGTTGAAGACAGTGGGTAGGAGAGTAGGGACAATGTACCCACTTCTCATTTTAGAGGCAAGATCATGCATATTATTAGAACAGTGACTCACTGTAACACAACCATAACATTTCAAGTACATTATAGAATTTTCAATTAATTTTTTTAAACTTCAAGTAGAAAAAAGTAATTCTAAAATATTTTCAAATCAGTATCAATATTCAAAAAGTTCAGTCCCCATTCAGAAACAGATAAACAGTATATTTATTAAATGAGTTAAGACAAATAAACTTTACAAATAGACAAATAATAAAAGGCTCAGTGGCTAAAATAGATGGTAAGCATCATTGAAAGAAATCAACACCATCACGGTATCTCAGTTGGCTTACACGTGTAAAAAGAAAATTTTCAAAGAGCAATTTCACAGAAATGAAGCCAGTTTTTTTCTTATAAACAAATCACCAATTCTTGGTTCAAAACTGACATCTGTTATGAAAATTACCATATCACATATTTGTAAGATGACAAGGAGTAACTCATCTTCAAAGTGCAAGTAAGTCTATTTACAACCACAAAAAAGGCAATGATGAAGAGAAAAGGATTTTTTAAAAATATACAAAGATTAAAAACATTTGGGATGCAAAATTAAACAATTTTTTGGTTAGAGGATAAAAGCGAAAAAGTGATTGAATTACAGATTTCAGCTATACATACTATATGATGGGATCCAAGATCTTTAACAGCTTGCTTGCATTTTTTTTTTCTACTTACATAATGCTCTGGAAATTTCTGGTAGAAATTATAGTGTCTCAAAGAGAGAAATACACACTAAGCATGTCTTGCTACTACTTCATGGATGTCGTAAGACCCGTTTATGAATTAGAGTTGGTGTAGAAAGCCATTGCCTTGAGTTGAAAAATGAATACTGTAAAAGCTCAATACAAATCCTCCAAAGCACATGCACTTCTAAATCTTTTGGTAATTACATTCATATTTAAGCATAACCAAAATAAAAAAGAAACCTGAAAACATTTCCCTTTTCTCTATTCCCTATGCCTTGTGGGCTCTCCAGTTGATAGGGTCAATTATTAGAGTTGAAAGGGTTCTTCAAGATAGTCCGCCACCCTTATTTAGGGTAAATGATTTTCCCAAGATCATGCAGCACATTAATGGCAAAACCAAGACTAGAAACCAGGTCTTGACTCCTAGTCTAATATGCTTTCCAGCATATCATGCTACCTCTTTTTTTACAGTATGATTCACTATAAATACCTGATGAATAAATGTACAATTACAAATGCTGACAGAGCCAATGTGTTTCTAAGACTTGCAGAGGATTACTGCAAAGATTTGATGGAGAGAAAAGATTTCCCCCACCCACCAAAAATATCAAGCACCATCAACTAAATGTTTCTTTGCTGGGTCAGCACTCTCAGTTATCCTAGTAGTCCTCGTAAACTTTATGTCAGCCTGAGGATTGTATATCTTGTGAAATCTGGGCCCTAACACATGCCAGTTTCTAAAGAGTAAAGACAGAGGCAAAAAAGGGAAGAAGGTAGACAAAGGAAAGAAAAAGAGAGCTAAAGAATCCAATTGGCTTAGAAATGGGCATTCTAACATATGGTTAATTACTACATCTAAATATATCATTTTAGAACTTTTTCATGCAATCTCATTTTATCTAATCTGTTATTTGGCCACTTAAGAATTAAAATAAACGTATCAAAGACAATGGTCATCATTATTAATTTTTTTTTTTTTTTAACCTGTGAGGCTAGTTTAGACAAACTAAATTCTACTAAGAGTTTGTCAAATGGCAAAATTGTGTTAATTTTCTTAATCTGATTCTATCAGGTTACCAGCAAGGAATTTAAGCGATACTTCATGGGGCTGTTACCATCTTGAAATTCATTCCAATTGTGGTCAAAGAGAACAGACTAATGCACTATATATGTGGAATTGAGAAAAGAAGCTGAAATGTCTTTTAAAAAAACATTGCCATAAATTTATTTAATAAAAGGGCATATTTATTTATGTTTACAAACAAGTTTCAAAAACAAAAGGAAAACATGTATGCTTCTACTTATTAACCTTTTTCAAAATGTCAACAGCCCTCATGCTGTGTGAAGGTCTCTAAAGATTAGAAAAATCAATACAGTTCACTCACAGTTCACCAAGACATCACTGAACTAACATGTTTAGACAAAAACAAAAAGGACTAAGGTTCTCTTGTAGTTTGATAGTTTGATTTAATTTGATTTGCCTGAAATAACAAAAGCATTTCAAGCATCTTTCATTGTGTAGTTGATGTCCTGCATTAAACAATCTACTAAATTCTGAACAAAAGGTTATTAGCAAGTTTTCAAAAATTTTAAAAATTAAACAGTTGCTTCAAAACCATTAAGTAGTAAATGTATTTAAGAAACTAATTAGGACAGATGTCATAACTTCATTAGAACACCACTGCTCAGGTTTTTTTGTTTTGTTTTGTTTTTTCATTTTTTTTAAACAAAGCATTAGTGTTATCTATTTGGCTATTAGTATTAGCAATTTATCTACAATATTTAACAAGGTAAATTGTAGGCAAAAATTTAGTACAGTTTCAATAGAAACACCCCCCCCTTTTTTTTTTTTCCTGAAAATACAGCAGTATTTGAAGGACTAATTTTTCTCTGCATCAGTTATAAGGAAGCTTCCCATCTATAACAGGAACAAAAAAAGTATCTACAAACCTTGTAAACAGATCTGTATCATTTATAAACATAAATAATCCAAATTATTAACAGCCAACAGCAGAAATTAAAGTATCAATTCAATGATCCAGGGCTCTTTGTCTTGCCCAGCTTTACTCCTCCCTCTCTCCCATCCAGGGCTGAGATAAACTAAAGCTCTGCTAATACACTGTTCAGGACCATGCCTGGGTACTACTGATGATCCACGGGTCGCTTACGCTGAGTTACTGTTTATCTGTCAGTTCATTTCTCCCACCCCCCAAAAAGCACCCTCAGTCTGGCAGAAAGCTTTGCTTTTTTTTAAAAAAATAAATCTACATTCGTACAAGTGTGTCTTCTGTTGAAGTCCAAAGACAAGAATACTAGCTTGTCCATCACAATATGTGAAAAGACCCAGTTTCAATTTGTTTCTTCACAATGCAGCTAGTGTGTTAACATTCAGCTTACAATCAGAGTGATGTTTCCAAACTATGTAGTGGGCTTCCTGGGGATGAAGAGGTAGCAGACTTGTTCATTTCTATTGTAAGGTGAATTCCACTGTCAACAGCATTGTTATTTTTGTTGGGAGAGGGTGGAGGACTGGAGTTACGTTTTGTAGGAGCATCATCTTCAGCATCAGTGTCATCAATAAGGGGGATATGAGGCTCTGAATCTTCTATCCTAAACTCAGGATGTGTCATAAAGTTGTGAATCGAACTTCTTGATTCCGGTTTTTCTAATCCTTCATATAAAGAACTACGAAATGCATTCACCACTCGAATCTGTAAACATCAGAAAACACAGAAAGATGTCAGTACACTATTAACAACTTAAAAATGTTTCATTTATGAGTTTGAATCCACAAACAGCTAGGTATGAGTGAATCATATTTGCATGTAATGCAGTGGAACTTGCAATACACTGTAAAAAAAATGAATATTTTAGTAAGACACTACAGAACAACAAAACCACATACTCTAAGAATTAAGAGGTATAGAATTCAAAGTAATATTAAGAAAATCTCATTGTCATTGGCTAAAAATTTAATAGCCATTTTATAGGATTTTTTCCCTAAAAGAACAAAATCAAACAAAAAAACAAAACAAAAACTTAATCATACACAAGCTTAGCTGATTAAAAAAAAATTAAAAACAATGTATTTTGAAAATAATTCAAATAAGTTAAACAAAATCAAGCACAAAGGGTTACTATTTATCATGCTAGGAATTAGGGTGTCACCGACTATGAAAAAGCCAAGCAAATATAAGCTGAATGCCACAATGAACTCACATCTACCCAACTACTCCCTTCATTAAAAATAAAAATAAGAACAAAACCCAAATAAATGTCTATAAAATGCCATTAAACAGCTATAAATATTTGAGTATATGCCATTTGTCTATCATTGTCTATAAAGTGTTTTTCACTGTAACAGATTAAAACTTAAATCAATTACTAAAGTTATCTAGAAGGAATAGATCAAAAACAAAAACAAATCCTTTGGGATTCTTCTGTGAAAAATTTCCCAAGAATACATAAAGTATTCAAAGTTTTCTAGTCTTTTCACCCCTAAACAGATAGCTCAACAATTTACCTTCCTTCTCAGTCTGCTTTATAAATGAAAAAGGTTAATGAGTAATCAAAAACATCAGTGCACACACTGACATTAAGTGCTATTAACCCAAGCGTCATTCAGATTTAGAAAAAAAAGGGACAAAATCTAAGTAGTTGAGCACTTACTATGCATCAATTCAAATACAGTGTTGCTTTTGCTTTGATTCTAATAAATCCTATTTAGTAATAAAGACACCATTTACTCATCGTTAAGAGAAGTAAATAACACTTTGACATTCTAGAAAAAAGATGCAGTCACCAAATTCATCTAGTAAGACAGTAATAATGAATAAATTAATACATTTCTTCAAATGAACATGTCAATGCATTTAAAAAATGTAATATAGAGTTTAGGGCCATGCATCCACTTCTCATCTCACCTTCAAGCTGTCTTTCCTTATTTGCCAAGCCCTATTTGTAAGCTGCTTTAGTCCATATTCACTTAGCCCTTTATATAGAGAGTACAGCACAGTCAACTGAGAAATACAAAAGCAAAATGTCTGGGTGTAAATTCCAGCTCTGTCACTTACTACCTGAGGAACATTGGTCAAACAGGTTTCTTCAACTATAAAATGGGAAACAGCAATAGTACTTGCCTTACGGGGTTGTAATGGTAGATTAAATTCATTAGCACGCTACAAACTTAAAACAGTGTTAGGTCACAAGTATTGAGGCCAGGGCTTCTTGAACTGTAATGTGCATATAAATTAGCTGGGAATCTTGTTAAAACAGAGATTCTGATTCAGCAGGGGCCTGAGGTCCTGCATTTCTAACAACCTCCAAGGTGATGCTGAAGCTGCTGATCCATGATCCACACTTGGAGCAGTAAGCATCTACTCTATAATGTCTTGCAACTTTACCATCTTTTATAATTCTGTTCTATTCGATTGCCTGTACTTAGTTCCTTAATTTGACTGATGAACAGCAGCATATATATTTTCAATTTCTTTTATTGCTTTCGTTCTCCCTCCCCTTTATTAAGATATAAAGTGTTCTGTAAACAATGCTTGCAAAATGTTATAGTAATTCAATATTTTATTGTGAAGTCTTAAAATCACATTTTATACATGTACACATTTAGCAAGTATCCTGACTGTCCTAATAACAAACTGTAAAGCTTAAAAAACAGAAAGATAACTTCCTAAAAAAAAATTGTTGATAGCAGCCTGTAGGCAAGCAGGAGAATGCAATTTGGAAGATCAGCCAGCAAATTTGATTGGTGGTGAGGCTGTTCAAGACAACCCTGAAACTGTTGCTTATTTGACAAGATTGCTAATGCTGCTACTACTGAAGATAGAACAACAGTTAAGCTTTCTGTGTATGTGTTTGTGTTTTCTGTCTTTCTTTCTTTGTAACCAGTCTGGGTATAAAAGTGAGCAGAGAAGAATCAAGGAGGAAATAAATCTACTTTTAAAACATGTTAAATTTGGAAAATACTAGAGCTTAGCAGAAAGGTGTGAACTTAAAGATTTGAGAGTTAGTGAAGCTCTAAGAGGGGCAGAGTGTAAAGGTGAGGACAACAAGTGTATGTGCACATGCAATTATACACATACACCAGTGGCAGGCAAAGTCAGATGAAATTCCTTCTTAGCAAATTTTCAGTTCTGGCAAGATTCTTCCTATCTGAAGAATTTATTGAAACAATATTAGAGATTTTTTTTTCTAACCACTTCCTAAATAATGAAACTGTGCAACGGAGAGGATGGGTGGCTGACTTATTAAGGAACTCTTAATTAGTGGTAAAGTCTTAAAACCTAAGTTTCTGGGCTAATTCCAGGTTCATTGGAAGTCAAGAAAAGACAAAAACAAACAAACATTTACTTTATCACTAACTTCACTAGAATAAAACATTCCATAAGGTTAAGGTTAATGCTTCCTTTGTCTGACTCATCTACGTAAGCCACATAACTGGTTAGTTTCACAGCGTTACAAGGACAGCTCAGCAATGCTCCAAAGCAATTCAATTTTCAAAGAACAGTTCTCAAGATACATACAATAAAACTCATATTAACCAGAAAACATTGAACCAGATTTTTTTTTACTTTCTACTTATAAAGAACATAAGAAAGCCCTCTTGATCTAAGGCATGACACTCAGCTGGCTTACACTTGCTCTGATTTTTACTACTTCCTGTATGTAAAATTCTCACAGTACAGTAAACTGTGAGGAAAAGAATAATTTTGTGCACAATACTTTAGGTAGGAAGGAAACTACCTACATAAATTATTAATACCATAAATAATTCAATTTAAGCATAAATGTAAGTAAACTTAATTACATGCTTTTGAAAATCCAAGCCTATTTATTTTGTCCAGTTTTAAAATTCAATTCCTATTTATTATCTATTTAAACCTACTCTGTGGAATATAATTATACCCCCCAAAATTATGAGAATTAAGAAAAATTCAGTAATTCCTATGTCCAAAATATTCTGTAAATTATTCAATAGAGGAAAAAACCCCCAAAATACTGCATGAAGCATATATGGTAAACAAAAAAACTGAAGTGATTATCATAATTATGAAGTAATTTTAAGAAACTGAAAATGATGATCAAGGTAAACAATATATGAAATATAATAAAAACAAGATCATGAACCTACAAAACCAATTTTTTCTAAATACCATCCTAACTTCTGATAGCAGAAAATAACATTGTTTACTGCCCAAAACACTGTACAAAAGAGAGAGCTCTAAAATACTAATCATAAGCCAATAAATCTTATCTTCTACAACAAATTGCCCACCTCTGAAATTTGTTTTCATTATTACTTTTCTATGTGCACTAAAAAATTGTAATAGTACAGTAAAAGATACTTTGCAACCAGAAAAAATTCTAGGTTGTTTACCAAAGTTGGGTACTTGAATATTAAATTTTCTCAAAAGGAGAACCACCTGTGTAATGTTTTATCTATCTGGAACAGGAGTTGGCAAACTTTTTCTGTAAAGTGCCAGGCAACAAAATATTTTAGGCTTTGTGAGCCATACAATCTGTCACAATTATACAACTCTGCCCTTCTAGTGAAAAATTTGCCACAGGTAAAACTTAAATGAATGGGCAAGACTGAATTCCAATAACAACTTATTTCCAAAGACAGGTAACAGGCTAGATTTGGCCCATAAGCTGTAGTTTGCTGACCCTTCACCTAGAAAACAAAATTTTCTCTCAATGTCTAATTTCCAGGAAGCTACAGCAATTTATTCAGGGGGAAAAAAAAATCTAATGATAAAGACTGATATAAAAACAAAAAACAAAAAACTACAGAATGTTTTCTCTAGAGACCTGTAAGAGTAAAGATATGACTAATAAATGAAGGGAAAAAGGTATCTTCAGAGATGTTTTGAGTCTAGCGTTTGACAAAGTCAAAATGGATTATTTCCTCCATTTTAGCACCCAATAGAGGTCAAAGAAATCTGACATCACAGGTATTTCTAAAACTATTCCATATTAGGGCAGAAATACAGTGATCAAATGAAACCTTTCCTTAAATATATTAAGATAATTCTATATATTGGCTGATGTTCTGGATCACCTAAGACAATGCTCCACCAGTAAGGTTGAAAGACCTTTATGGTTAACAGCAACATAATTACTGCAACTCTTCGTGTATAATGACAACTGTATTAACAAGACATGATTTAGTCCCTGGAAAACTCCAAGAACACAGGATATAGAATAAAGAAGTAACTATCTCAAACCTTGATAAAGCAACAATTACAAACCTTCCTTTGCCACTCTCTTAAGTGTATCTTTATTTCCCTGAAGTATCTGCTCCCCTAGCCACATTGGTCCAGAAATGGTTTCACATGTAACTGTGCGTCAGAAAAAAAGAGCCTGAGGTGGAAGTGCAGGGGTATGTGTGTGTATATGTGTCTGCCTGTCTTAAAACAGTTTATGATTGCTTCGATATTTAATACGAAGCTTGGAACACAATGACAAATATAGTAAGAATAGTATAACTAAAGTATACTGACATCCCTCTAAATGAAAAAAACAATTACTTAAAATATTATTAAATGAAAATGAATAGGATACACATCACCCATGAGGTAAGCCTGTCAAAAAAGTTTAATATGAAGTTAATCAGTAGAAAACAATCAGACAATCTGGAATGTAGAACCCTTTATAAGACAATTCACCTGGATTCTTCAAAGTCAATGTCATAAAAAAATAAAGGCAGGGAATGAATCCAGGTTAGTTACTAGACTCATAACACACACACTGTCAATAATTATTTCTTGGATTTAAAAAGCTATAAAGAAAATTTTGGGGGCAACTAGAGAAATCTGAATACAAACTGTTAGATAATATGGTATCAATGTTAAATTTATTGGATGTGATAATAAAGTATGATTATATATGGATATTCTTAGGTACATGCTATAGTATTTAGGGATAAAATGCCATGGTATCTGCCATTTTCAAATAGCTAGAAAAAAGTATATATTAATATATAAATAGATAGTGTCATAAAATATTAAGTGGTAAATCCAGGTGAAATATTTTATATATTAATTTTTCAACTTGTCTATAGGTTTAAAGTTTTTCAAATTTAAAATTTTGAGGGAAGGAGGCCTACCAGGATAAAGTCTTCTTAAGGGCTCCTTCTTGTGGGGTATAAACAGACACTTTCCATTTCAGCATCCCTTAGTTTATTCTTCCTTTAATACCAGACTATAATCACTGAGGCCTCAATTGGTGAATTCTATCAAGGGTCATCTTGGGAGTCACCTCCTTGAGACAATTTTTCGTGACTTTCCAGGGTAAGCTAAGGAGTCTGTTATGACAGCATGTGTTTTACTACCATGTAGAAATTTCTAACTATTTGTCTTTTTTCCTTTAGTAGACTAAAGGTTCTGGAGGTTCTGGCGTAGCTCTGACATATGGTAGGCCTTCCATAAAGGATTGTGGAACATTTACCATCTACAGCTAGGTAGTAAGAAGCTCTAGAGAGAGAGGCATAGTTTGAAATCCATAGATACAGGGAGGAAGAGGCATTTCTACTATACCAGGCATAAGGCCAGGCAATTTACAGTTACCATTTTATTTAAGTAGGTAATTTTTAAAAGGAAGAGTTCTAGCTGTCCCTGTACATAAACTGAGTATCTTAATGTTAGAGGGTCACTTAGAACATCTGTGTGTACTTTATATCATGTGGCCTCTGCTTATTAGCTGCAGACAAGTTATTTAAATTCTAAGGTAGTTTTCATACCTGTAAAACAGGGACAGTTCTTACTCTGCCTGTTTCACAACATTTTTAAAAATATCAAATGAAAATTACCTAAGCCAACAGGGAACAAAAAGGCATTAAGTAAAATGTCTGCACTGTTTTTTCCCCTTAATTCATCCTCTTTCCAGCTTCCCAAGGTTCCTCCAGTCTTTCACCGGTTTGAGACTAAATGGAAAAGATAGGTCTCTGCTCACTTCAAGACTAACCTTAGGTATCTCAATACATTTTTGGGGTGAGGCTGGGTTTACATCTTTAATGCCTCCAATATATTGAGAATGCACCATGAATTCTCAGTAAGAATTACAGCTTTAGGCTTTTAGAGAGTTTGCTATTTACTAAAAACCTGAAACAAAATGTTATTTTAGTAAATTATTGAAAATTACAGTATTTATTGGTTCAACAATAGGATACTTTTCCTACTTCTGCTGAAACTTAACAGAACATTTCTTATCTATGATGCAATTTTAACTAAATTGACTATACAAATGGAAAAACAAAGCCATCCCAAATCATAAATACCACAGAAATTTTTTAAGTTTACACAGTGATTTCCCTCCAACCACCCTCGAATCAAGCAAAAAAAAAAAAAAAAAAAAAGTTCAGATTAAGAAGGCAAGCAACTGGCTATACATAACGAAAACTTGTCTTGAGGCTACTAACTACATTTCCAAACCGGACAAAAGTCAAAATGCTAAGTTCACTCTTAGCTTTGAAAATGCAATTTCCTGGTTTTGTCAGATGAGTTTCAAATCACATGCTTCTAGGAACCATGCAGCATAAACAGGCTGGAAGGCATATACTCAAAAATTTATAGTAGTTTCACAAGTTCTAAGCTACAATTTTATTCCCCATATTAACTGTCAGAGTTAGCACAGAGACAAGTTCACAGATTGCATCTAATCTTTGGTTGCAATTGTTCCACCTGTTATCTAGCCCTCTAAGAAATAAAACAACAACGACAACACTTTGAGGTCTCAATCCACTTTACGAAAAGAAAGCTTTATGAAAAAGCCTGAACAATGAATTCAAACATTAAGGAGAAAATGAGAAACGTTAGGTGTGTGAAGTAGGAAATGTTAATTTCATGCACTTAGGAACACACACTCACACCCCACAGTAGTAGAAGCAGTAGAAGAGGAAAACACTACATGTGTAGGGGTAGAAATATTTGTTACATCATGATGCTGGCTGGCGATGGAGGGTTGCCGCCTTAGAGCCCCCTGAATGGAACTTCCACTCTGGAAAGCATTCACTACATCCATCTGCAAGGAATCAGAGATTGTGACAGCTTGCTCAGCAAGAGAGAGAGAGAACAAGAGAAAGGACCATTCCATCTATCAACATATAAAAAGTAAAGAAAAAGGCACTTTTTACAGAGCAGATAAATAGGCAAGAATAGCATTTTGAGATGAAGTAGGGGGTGGGGGTGCTAGGAAAAAAGGAGCTTAGGGGCATATAGACACATTCTTTCAGAATCAGTTAAAAGTTTCACTCATTCACCAGTACTACTTTTCAAGAGAATACAATATGTGGGTTGGGAAGGCTAGAGAGGAAGTTTAAGGAGCACACTCTAACCTCCTCCCCAGGTCAAAAAGCCCTGGCTCCCATCATCTCTCCTACCTCTCTACCAGACCCATACCTGTGTTTGGATTCTGTTCAGACCTCTAAACCACAAGATTTGGCCACGCCGCAACTCCCTTTCAGCGTGATCAATCTCTTCAACATCCTCTGCTAATTCCTCCTCAGGTATTTCTTCCTTTTGTGTTCCATGACCAGCTTCTTTGAGGAATTTTAAACGGCTAGTTGGAATTGTTGAAATAAGCTACAACACAGGGGAATGAACTTAGAAATACATCATATCAAGGAGAGGTAAGCTGATCAACTGTAATACTAAAGGTATTAAAAGTGGTGAGAGTATCCCGACTATCTTTACCAATGAAGTAATGAGATCCTGGTGATTAGTCTTTCTCTCCCAGAGCAAAATATATTCTTCTCTTAGCTACACAAAAGATTTGAGTTTGAAAGGTAAAAAGTTTTCCTAAATGGAAATTAACCCAATTACATTTTTCACATTTTCATCAGGACATTCAAGACAGTACTCTGTAAAACCATGCTCTGATGTATGTACTTAAACTCCTATTATATTTATTTTGAATGCAATGAAAATGGCAGGTGGTCTTATCAGATGCAAAACAAGTTTACAATCATTAATGCTGTCAGAGTTCAATGAGAAAAAAATGTGTAAAAATTTAAAAAATCATCACAGTTACACTGAAAATAGTTTTGTTAAGTAATTTTTCAAAATGCAACAGTTTAAAATTAGATTAGTACTGATTGATGACACCAAACAAAAACAGATGTCCCAGAAAACACAAAGGATATAAAGAAACACCAATACACATGTATTAGCTTATGTGTTAAAATTCATTCTCTAAGGCAGCAGTTGGGTTTATCAGGGAGAACCAAGCATGTAGTCAGCTACAGAATTCTGCTTGGAGAACTTCTAGTCCAAGCACCTCATTTCACCAATGTGAGGTCTCCTGACCACCAAAGACAGTGCTTGTTCTACCATGGTACACTTAAAAATGAGCAGACAGTGTCAACTAGACAATAACTTGAGCCTTGTGGGTATATATGTTGTACTGAATTTCCTCTTCCTCAAACTGGCCAGGTTATCAGAAAACACTATGAAATAATCACAATGATAATCAAAAAGGAAATATGGACCAAGTATGGGTCCTACTTAAAAGATGGTCTCTATTAACAAGGTATTCAAAATGGTTAAGAACCCTCAGGACCTAGAAACATAATTAAGAAAACGAAGAGATAAAAAGATGTAAAGATTGAGCTAAATTTAACAAAAACCTGAAAGTCTGGTTTCACTCATTTGCAGAATGACAATAAATTAGCTCACACAAATTATATGCCATAATTATATTAACCTTCATTTATGAAAATGTTAGTATAAATTTTCTATAACTTAGTCTTATAGTAATAATAATGGGCTTAAAATGAACAATGCATAAATCATTATCACTTATATTTAAAAAATAATAACATGCATTTGCAAGTAAACTGCCTATAGTAAACATGAGGTATATCTCTTATTTCATGCACTTTATATATACACTGTTAAAACTATTCAATTCAAATCTAAAATGTCATTTTGTGACCCTTTTTCTAAGTAACATTATTCTTATAAAAACATGCTCTTAGTAAAGCTCAGTTTTTCCTATGCTGTATATTGGATTAAATTACAGAACAAAATGATGAAGTACATGTACTTTTTACGTTTTTGTAAAAAACTTTATTCTGAAAATGTAAAAATACGTTATAGAGTAAAAGATAACAGATATTAGCATCCTAACCAGTTATAAGCACATCATTTTTAACAACTGCTAAGAAACTTGTTCTAAAACACAAGTTAAGATAGTATTTTATAGTATAGGCATAATTGTAATAAACAAGTGACATAATGGAACTAATCAAACATTAAAAAAACTTATCTTTGAATTCCCTCTCTTTTTACTCACCATGTTAACGATTTAGAATCAAGTAATGAAACTGATTAAAGAAAACAAACATTAGAAATTAAAAAAAATCACTTTAGGTTTAAACAAAAACTGATGAGATTTTTACCTGGCCCCAGAGTAACGTTCCCATTCCTAGGAATATTGACCATAGCCACTGTTCTATTGAAAGTTCTGAACAACTGAAAGGTTTTCCACCAAACTGCACAATTATTATCTGGAGGAATAATCAAGAATAAATTTACTTAAATTTAAATATTCACATACTCTAAAAAATACCAAATATATGTCCTCTAAAACGAGGTGAACAACCACTATTCTGATAAAGTGTATTATATTAGTCACAACTGAAAATAAAACAACTGAAATAGACCTTTCCTCTTTCCCCTCCAGGCCACTTTCCCTCTTAAAAAAGACAAATGAAATAAAGTAAAATCCCTGTCCAATATTTTTAATCCATACTTATTTCATGTTTAAATTATGCTTACTAAAAAGTAAAATTCTTATGACCCACAAGAATAACTTTCCCCTGTATTTACTACAATTCTTCAAATAATTAACTTATGCCTTTCTCAAAATATAGTACTCTTTTGTAGAAAAGACTGTATGTTAATGAAAAAATATGCAATCCTTTTAAAATTCCACATAGCTGTTTATTTCTAGTTAACATTTAGATATGTTAAGATAGATACAGACTGTAAGGGAAGAATGGCAACTTGCAAAGTTCTATGAAATACAAGCTAACTCAGGTGAGATGATCTCAGATTTGCTCTCCTTTATGAAGCGAGTGAGGCCTGATGATGAACATAAATTCATAGTACAGTGCTTATCCTCTGCTCATTTTTCTGAAAGACCTAAAAATAGTGTGCATGAAAATATTAAGGGAAGTAACTGGAGTTGGGTATGGTGACTTATACCTGTAATTCTAGCACTTTTGGAGGCTGAGGTGAGAGGATTGCTTGAACCCAGGAGTTCAAAGACCAGCCTAGGCAACATAGCAAGATCCCATCTTAATTAAAAAAATAAATAAGTAAAAATAAATAATTTTTTTAAAAAGAAATAACAATATTCACCCTCCTGTGATAGAGTCTGGTAGGTCCTCCTGTGATAGAGTCTGGTAGGGCTCTCTTTGATATGGCAGTTAAGTAGTTCCCAAATATTAAAATCAAAAATAATTTTGGTAGTTAACATCTTAAAACATTAAAGATACAATTCCACTCTTTTTAGCTCTAGTTTATCCAAATTCAAGTGATTTTTACTTCTCAGTTCCACTATTTTTTGTTAATTTGTATACTTGTAAAGATAGATTTCCAACTGCTTTGTTAGTAGCCCAATTAGATTATAACTGATTTGACAATCAGGCCTGGATCTTAATAGAGATACAAAACTGAAATAATTTTCTTTTATAAATCAAGAAAATAATGAGCATCAAAAGCGTTCAATATTTATTTGTATAAGTGATCATAATTTTTGTTAAGTTTAAACTTTGTCTTTTTTTGTATAATGTGGGATGTAAAAAGAATATTAAGGTACTGGGGAAACTATTAAGGTACTGGGGAAACAATTAATGTGATTGGCTGATTTTGTTTCCTAAGAAATAATCTTTCACTTTAAAGTTGGAAGACATAAAACAGTTTGTCTAGTTGGTTGTGGCATTTACTTCTAAGAACAAGAGATTCAGTTCCCATATTCTTTAATATATACCTTAAATCACCATGATACTATAGATGTCACCAAGGCAATAGTTCCATACATGTTCCACACAAGTGATTGCTACAACAAGCTGTTTACCTAATGTCTCCCATATAACAGTCACATTTGGAACTCTCTTTTCCAATTACCCACCTGTACCACAAAAGTGCCTAAAACAATCGTGCAGAAGATGGCATTGTTAAAGATTCCTTCAAATACATTTCTTTCACCATGAATTTTCCGGGCATTTATTTCGTTGAAAAGTTGCATCAGCACAAAGGTATTAAAAACAATAGTATAATGTTCTGAAGGAGGAGCATGCAAAGGAGCATTTCTTCCACTATCAATGTCAAAAAACTTTTCTCCTGAAAGAATTAAAAATTACTGTTTTATAATTATCATACCAAATAACAACATATCAAGGAAGTATACAAAATAAAACTTAGCTAGGCTTTTCATTTGATCTGAGATGGCAGCATGGAAGGAGCTGGAAGAAACCTGGGATTACCTAGTACAACTCTCTTGTTTTTTAGACAAGGAAACAGAAGCTCCCAAAACTATGGTGATAATCTCAAGATCACACATCTAAGTTAGTGGCAGAGCCAGGATAAGATAACAGACTTTTTATTATCCCCCTACTATCTATCTTATTGTCTTCCCAAATTTACTAAGCACTGACTGGTAAAGAAGAAGAAATTAAGGATAAATGGGAAATCAGGAACAGAACTTACACTTTTGAAAATTTTTAACATTATAACATCTTGGATGATTGGCTTGGAAAAGAAACAATTTACTGAAGCTTTATGTATTAGACACTGAATTCTTACCAGCAAATAAGAGTGTAAAGACTACTACAAGTTGATAGAATGCATGACCCAAAATATTCTTCATCATTGTTCGTGAGATGAGAGGCTTATTTCTACCATAAGGTTTCCGAAGCAAGAGAGACTCGGTGGGTGGTTCCGTTGCCAGAGCCAGGGAAGCGAGCGTATCCATTATGAGGTTTACCCACAGCATCTGCACAGCCTTAAGCGGAGAGTCCTAGAAAAGATAGGTTTCCTAATAGACATTCACAACTACTCAGGGACTCAGCAATTCTCAGGGAGCCTTTAGGATTTAAAAACTTGAGAAACAGAACAGGATAATATTTTTATATAAACTAACCTAAAATATTAAGCTTTAGCTTAAATATTAAGCATTTTAAAAAGGCATTTTACATACTTTTTAAATTTAAAGTAAACAAGTTTTAATAGACAAATCATCACCTACTTGAGTAATACAGGCGCCCGTAAAAGCAACAATCACTGCTACTACATTAACAGTAAGTTGGAACTGAAGGAATTTTGAGATGCTGTCATAGACATTTCGTCCCCACATAACTGCTTTAACAATGCTTGTAAAGTTGTCATCTGTGAGAATAATATCAGATGCTTCTTTAGCTACATCAGTTCCAGCAATACCCTGTTAAAAAAATTTTTGTGAATTAGTCTAAATGTTTTAAGTATAAATTTCAAAGAGTCAAAAAATACACAATTAATAAAGTTTACCACTATACTTAAATTATATTGACTTAAATTTATGCTAAAAGAAGGTAACAGCATTCTTCTAAGATATTACTAGGAAAGACATTCTGGTTTAGCAGAAATCAAAGAATGAAGCATTAAAAATAAGGTTCAAATTGGATTAAAAATGGAGGAATGAACAAAGACATGACCCCAGTTCCTTCCAAAAGCCACACAAAAAGGTATATATTAATAAAAAGCAAACAAACTTTATGAAGACAAAGTTAGAGGAAAAGGAGATTCTAACAAAAAAATAAAAACCCCACAAAACCTTAGAGGCTAGAAAGCAGATAGCTAAACAGTAAGTAACTCAGTAAACACAAGAAAGCTGAATCCTAATCCAATGATAGAGAGAGTAGAAGTAGCCCCCTTTTCCCCCACAACAGAATCCTCCTATACAGCTCTGGACTTGGCAGTTGTAGGTGGCACTGGAAGTAGGGGTGAAGTTAAGAACAAAAGGAAGATCTCTTGAAAGTCTACTGAAGATGCATTTAGAAGCTCCAAACTAATAACAATGTCATCAATAGGAGAATGGAATAGATTAATAAATTGTGGATTAATAAAATGAGTGAACTAACTATATTCAACATAAATGATCTCACAAACATAATGCTGAATAAAGAAGATGAACTCAACATATAATGTATGATTCTTCCGTACAAAGTTCAAAAACAGGCAAAAGTAATAATCTTCAGGATACTGGTTATCTTTGCAGAGAGATAAGGCAGTAATTAGAAGGGAGTAGGATTCGCTAAAAAATTATGAAAAGCTTAACCTCATGAACCCTGCTATGGGCTGAAAGTGTTCCCCAAATTCATGTGTTGGAAATGTAATCTTTAATCAGCAACGTGGAGACATGGAAACTCAGAGGTGATTTCATGATTTCTGCCCTCATGCATGGATTAATGTCATTATGTTGGGAGTGGCTTCATTATCGAGAGTGAATTCGTTATAAAGGTGAGTTTGACCAATCCCCTCTTGCTTTTGTGCTCACTTGTGGTGCTCTTTCCCTTCTCCTATGACAAAATGCAGCATGAAGGCCTTCACAAGATGCTGGTACCCTGCTCTTGCATTTACTCACCTCCAGAACCTCAAGTCAAAGAAACTTCTATTTGTTTATGAATTACTAAGTCTTAGATATTCTGTTACAGCAATACAAAATGGACTAAGACAAACCCTTTCTCAGGAAGTAGCTGAAGGAGATGACTCCACCAAATAAGGGAGTAAACCAAAGAAGATGATACCACCAAATTCACAAAGTACAAGATCCAACATAAAGGAGAGAGAAAGAAAATCCTCAGGTATGGGGACCAAAAAGACAGCTGTGCAGCAAGGCTAGCAAAGAGCAAGTGCAGATTAAGGCACGTTGAAAGATGCTGAGAGAGGTCTCTCTTAGAAACTGAAGCTGGTAAGAGTGCTAAAGGTCTCTGATGTATGGAACAGAGAACTTGGGGATGAATTTGTGCTAAGTACATACAAAAATTAAGCCAAAAAACTCCAAACAAACAAAATAAAAACTAAAGGCAAGCAAGCAAAGGACAACAAATTATAGGGAACGTAAAAAGTTGTGTAAGGAAGGAAAAGTAATTACAGTTGACCACATAGGTTGAAACAGCATTTACAGTCACAGTAAAGACTGAATATTGATCGAACCTAAATTATGATATAATTCTACAGGCAATGATGAAAGGTATATGGGGTGAATGTGGTGAGGATACCTGTGTCTATGTGCCTGTGAAGGAACTAAGTCCTCATTTTCATTAATCAAAGTCAGTAGTTAATGCCTTATATTAAAAAAATCAAAAAGTACCAGATTCATGTGATTTAGAGATATAAAGGCACATAACTAAAGAAAAGCAGCAGCTAAAACAGTTTCCTTTGGGAGCCAAAAATTTGGTATGTGGTAGGGGACTTGGTATTAAGTCTTATAGAACTACTTGACCTTTTAAATGCTATGCATACATTATTTTGATAAACATGAAGTTCAAATAAAACCTTTCTCAAAATATTCAGTGAAGGAACAATCTTATTTTAGAATCTTAGTCTCCAGTTCCCAATGTGAATATTTTACTTTTGATGTCCCACATTTTTTTTTTTTTTAAATTTTGAGATAGAGTCTTGCTTTGTCACCCAGGCTGGAGTGCAGTGGTGTGATCTCAGTTCACTGCCACCTCTGCCTCCTGGGTTCAAGCGATTCTCCTGCCTCAGCCTCCTGAGTGGCTGGAATTACAGGTGCACACCACCATGCCCAGCTGTTTTGTATTTTTAGGAGAGACAGGGTTTACCGTGTTGTCCAGGCTCAAGAGATCCACTCCTGTTCTCAAGAGATCCACCCGCCTTGGTCTTTCAAAATGATGGGGTTACAGGCATGAGCCACTGTGCCCAGCCAATGCCCCACATATTTAACACACTTTAGCTCAATGGGATTTCTCGATTCTCATCATACCCATATTATATGAATGCAAATCTCACCATTCCCTCGCTCAAAATCCTTAACATTTCTAAAAGTAACTCTACAGTGTTAATGGGTATTCAAATAAAAACTAGTTCCATGATGAAACAGGTCTGGAAAACTTTGAATCACAAGAAGTTAAACTGCTTTTAAAAAATGAGCTTCTAGGAGTAATATGATACCGCATAGTATCTCTAAACTTATTTTACTCATTCAGAAGTAGGCTTGGCAAATGTTAATCTACAGGATAAGAGAAAAAAATTCCTTATCTTGGCATTCAAGGCCTTTTTCGTGTGCCTCCCTCTGAATCCTTCTAGCTTCATATCTCATTACAGCACCACAATCTTTTCTAGTTAGGTTGAATAACTTGTACATAATTCGCTGATGAAAGAGGGCCTCTTGGTTCCCGGTTCCGCTCCTTCCCTCAGCTAAAATGGCACCTCTTCCAGAAAACCTTTCCCAGCCTCTACAGGTAGAGTCAAGGACTTCTTCCTGAGATACTTGTCACTATCCTGTGATTATTTCCATGTGCTGTGAATCTTTAGGAGGCAGCAACTCTTCACTTCTAATGTTTCTGGACTGGAATACTGAACATAGCCTCTTAATATTTGCAGTCCCGCATTAATCCAAAGAAAGTTTAAAATAAAGTATTTTAATTGCCTTAGGTTTTACTACCATAAATGTATTTGATTATTGGATTATACCACGACATTCAGTCTTTGATGATAGCAGTATCTCTATAGATGGTTAACTAATTTTTGGTAAGAATACTATCATGTGACAAGGATTCTCTCCTTTAATCAAAACTTGCTATGTAAATAACTGTTATACTGTATTGTTTAGGAAATCATGACAAGAAAAAAAAGTCTGTATATGTTCACTACAGATGCAACCATCCATATTTTTGTCCTCAATATTTTCGATCCAGTTGGTTGATTCCATGATGCAGAATCTATGGATACAAATGGCTGAATGTACAAGCAGAACATGCACTTTATCTATAGATCAACAAATCAAGAAAATATGCTCTAAAATGCTATATCTGCCTGAAAAATAAGAAATACATTTAGAAAGAACTAATCAATAGCAATTTCTTGTAATTAAAAAAACCTCTAATATGTTTGTCTTTAAGTTTTTTTTTTTTTTTTTTTTGAGACGGAGTTTCACTCTTGTTACCCAGGCTGGAGTGCAATGGCGCGATCTCGGCTCACCGCAACCTCCGCCTCCTGGGTCCAGGCAATTCTCCTGCCTCAACCTCCTCAGTAGCTGGGATTACAGGCACACGCCACCATGCCCAGCTAATGTTTTTGTATTTTTTTAGTAGAGACGGGGTTTCACCATGCTGACCAGGATGGTCTCGATCTCTTGACCTCGTGATCCACCCGCCTCGGCCTCCCAAAGTGCTGGGATTACAGGCTTGAGCCACCGCGCCCGGCCCTGTCTTTAAGTTTTATCTGAACAAATGCAAAACTAAATTCAAGCTTAAATAAGAGTAGTTACAAGTCCAAGGCACTAAGCACTTACAGTTTCTCTATGTTTTTGAACTAATTTTATTTATTTATTTATTTATTTATTTGAGACAGAGTCTCGCTCTGTCACCTAGGCTGGAGTGCAGTGGTGCTATCTTGGCTCACTGTAGCCTGTGCCTCCTGGGTTCAAGTGATTCTCATGCCTCAGCCTCCCGAGTGGCTGGGATTACAGGTGTGTGCGCCACCACACCCAGCTGATTTTTGTATCTTCTTTTTTTTTAGTAGAGATGGGGGTTTTGCCATGTTGGCCAGGCCGTTCTTCAACTCCTGACCTCATGTGACCCATCCACCTCAGCCTCCCAAAGTGCTAGTATTACAGCATGAGCCACCATGGCCAGACTGTTTTTGTGATGTTATCATTCAAAAACAAATTTGTACAATTGAGCCTAAAACCGTCAAGAGCTTGAAAGAAAAAAAACACACAAACCAACCAGCCATTGTACTGTTTTTGTTTGCATTATTATATTTACTTGCATTTATTTAAAGCCCATTTTATCTGTCTTAATTCAAGTTTTGGGAAGAATGCTTTTTTAAATTTTAAAATGCATTTTACATAACTTTTTCTGGTCAGCTGTCAAGACTGTAAATAGCAATAAGAATCCTGCAAGAGCAGCAGTGAGTGATCCTCTGTTCCTAAAGAGAATGAGCCTGTTTCCCTAGAGCAAAAGGAAGAGCACTTAATTACTCAATATACCTCTTCAGCTATGCTTTACGGGACTTCAGAAGCGCCTACCAATGCAGCTGCCAACCATTTAAATTTGGATGGGGTAGAGTGGGGGTCTTTGGATTCATTACTTTTAATTGAGGGAAATTTACCTATAATTTCCTTTCCCTATCTCTTTCACTCCTGTTGAAAGGCTGCCACCATGGTGGATCTTCTAAATTTCTATTTTAGCGGCAAAATATCAGGGTGACAAATTATGCAATAAACATTTGTACACAAAAACAATCTCTCATCTGAAAAACTTAGGGCCAGATTATGATTCAGAATTCAGTCTCTAACAGTTTGGAAAGATAATGATACATATAACCTTATACCTCAATTTTCCCAAAGAGCTTAGCACCCCATAAATATCACATTAAAATCTCCACAATGGTTATGAATATTCACACTAAGTAGGACAAATAGCCTCACATCAGTTCAGAACAAATTTTGCAACCAAATGAGTCTGCTGCAAAATTTAGGTTAAGAATTTCAGTTTCCTGATAGTTCTGGATTTGAGAATTGTGATTATGAACCAGTATTTTCCAAAAATAAAACTAGAAGAAAATAAAATACTTGAATTGAGGACTTTAGGGGAAACAAGTAGGTAGGCTTTTTTAATCAAAAAAGACTATAAAATGATGATATTCAATCACTTTTTTTTTTGAGGTGGAGTTTTGCTCGTTACCCAGGCTGGAGTGCAATGGCACAATCTCGGCTCACCGCAACCTCCGCCTCCTGGGTTCAAGCAATTCTCCTGCCCCAGCCTCCTGAGTAGCTGGGACTACAGGCGTGCACCACCATGCCCAGCTAATTTTTGTATTTTAGTAGAGATGGGGTTTCACCATGTTGACCCGGAAGGTCTTGATCTCTTGACCTCATGATCCACCTGCCTCGCCTCCCAAAGTGCTGGGATTATAGGTGTGAGCCACCGCGCCCAGCTCAATTACTTTTTAAATAACTGAAGAGTAATGGAGTGACGAACAGAGGAGTCTCAATTACATTTTTAAATACACAACTGTTCTAAGCCTGTGTCTTGCTTAAAAGGATTGTTAAAAGGTTCAGATAAGATGACAGACATTAAAAAATTTAACAGACTACGAAGTCAACATACAATATTATTAAATTGTTCAAAAGAAATAATCTAGTCAGATTTCATGGCATCAAATAAAGCTAACACATAAACTAATCAGACTTATAAACTAATTTAGGCTTATTAATTATCCCTCAAACTAATCTTGAGGGACAGTGTTTAAAATCCATAGTAATTCAGTCAACAAACAAACAAACCAGCCAGGAAATTACATTTGGATATCTGAATGAGTAAATTCTTACCATTGCAAATCCAACATCTGCTTTCTTTAGTGCTGGGCCATCATTTGTACCATCACCAGTTACAGCTACAACCTGGCGTTGGTCTGAGACAGTGCTGTCAATTATACCTTAAATACAAGTAAATATTTGTGTTATAAAAATATTAGTCTTTAATAAGATGATTCTGAAGAATATCCTGATTAGTTGGTTTTATAGACTCAAGGTTAAAAATAAATAAACAAACAGAGAAATGGAAGCTGCTTAGATGTTGGAGAACCTACTTCAGAAACTATGGGTATATTCAGAGCAATATCCTGTTTTAATCACTTAAGATAAACACAATTTACCTAAGATATCAAAGGAAATGTACTTAGATTTTATTAAAACAGATGATATCCATGTCTTTCTCAATCTAATATTCATTATCTATTACTAGTTTAGGAAGCAGAACACATTTCTGTATTAAGAAATTGTGAAATAACTGAAAAATCTACTCACCTTTAACCAGTGTATGCTTATCAGTAGGAGATGATCTTGCAAGTACTCGAAGCTTTGGCCAAATCTTGTCTATCCTCTCTTGCTCAATCTATAAATGTTTATCAAAGTTAAAATATGCCCAAAACTAGTTTCCTAAATCCGAATTAGCTATCTGGCATATTTATCAGTAGCTATTCAAGTATGGTCCACAGAACAATACTATCAGAAACTCCTGGGAATTTGTTAGAAATGTGAATTCTTGGGCATGGAACCAGATCTATCTTAGCAAGTACTCTGGGGCAGGCCCAGCAATCTACGTTTTAATAATTTCTCTCTAGGTGACTTTAATGCATACTCAACTTTAAAAGCCACTGTTTTATACATAAGACCAAATTAAAAAAATCTCCCTACTGCCTTATGAAAATAGAACTTCCTTAATTTAGCCTAAGTTGCTCAGAGAGTTTGGGGTCCCCTAAAATATTCCCTGGATCAGCCCTTCCAATCCATCTCCCATTACTCCCTTACACATACTGAACTTCTAAAATTGGCCTAGAGTCACTGCCTCCACCTTCATACAGCATTCATATAGCAAGACGTGCTCACTTCCTTTAGGACCAATTTCTTTATTATTTCTCTTTTATCCCTTAGACTAGTATTTTGCTTCCTAAAGGTTATTAATTTCATGCATGGGGCCTAACATAGTGCATATTCAATATGCGTTTGTTGAATTAAATTCCTAATATATTAAAAACCTGTCATCTAAAAATAAATAAATAAATAAATCTTTACCTCTCCTTTTTCATTTCGTATTCTTCTGTTAAAATCTTTACCTTCTAGGCACAGAAAATCTTCCCCAGGATGTAAAATACCACATTTGGTAGCAATGGCCCGAGCAGTATTAATATTATCACCAGTGACCATCCGCACAGTAATTCCAGCCCTCTGACACTTTTTAATTGCATCTGGTACCTGGTTTACATAGAAAAAAACATATTACAAAATTAAATTGGTATTTCTAGAGGAAAAAATATTTCACTGCACACACTGCATTATTTTATAGTCCCCCAAATGATGACAATGCTACAATGACTTAATGATACTGATTGATTTCATTTCCAATACTCAGTACTTCCTGAACTATTTTCAATAATCTCTTTCCAATTCCACTGCCAGGCTTAGCTCAGGCTTCGTTTTCAATTATTATCTACTAACTTGCTTGCAGTATTTATTTACAGAAGGCTTTTTAAAGCACCCTTTCCCCCTAACAACCATTAGGCAATTCTTTTCTGGTTGGCTTTCTAACTTTCTGGTTTTACCACCCAGATGACACCAGAGTAAAATGTTGGTATTCTTTTGTTTAGGGTTAAGAGTGGCTCACAATCCATATCTTTTAAGGGTTACTTTACCTACTCTCATACTTTAAATTTCCATCTAATTCCATAATATTCTAAATGACTCTCAAATCTGCATCCTGCCCCTATCTCACTGTAAGAGGGTTAGTAATTCCACCTGAAAAGTGGGTATCATGTTTCCTTTACCTATTTCCACCCAAAAAGCGAAATGTTTCCTTTTCCCATCTAGCAGAAACGTACAGTCACCTGAACCTCCTCTTTCATCTCCCTTAACCTACATCCTTAGAAGCTAGTAAATCCCATGGATCCTACCTCAAACTTGCCCTGCATCATGTCTCTATTGCTTGTTGCCCAACTTACTGCAATGGCTTTTTAACTGGTACCCTGTCTTTAAGTTTGTTCCTCCTTTAAAACATCTGATATACTTGATGGCAGAGCTTTTTCTAAAAGAAACATACTTTCTTAAAATATATGATGATTCCTCAGCAGTTATACACAAACCACAAAGTTCTCAGTATAAAAGAATCACTGTTTGTGCCTCTGCCACTATAGCTCCTTTTACCTAGAAAATCTTTTCTCAATTTTCTATAACTAGAAAATCCACAGAGCCTACTGGAGCAGAGGTTGCAAATTCAAACGCCTACAGGATCATGCAGGTAATACACATGAAGAAAATATGCTGAAAATGACAAACCCCTGAGACAAATGTTTAACGAAAGAGCTCTTTAGCTCTAGCGTAATTCTGCCATGATGCAATGAGAGCCCAATGTTAACAGAATCTGTAATTGGAAACGAAAGAAGAAACCCAGATTTGTGTGTAATTTCCTCATACTTAATGTTTCTGACCCCCCCACCTCCACAAGATAACTGGACTGAAGGCTAACTTTGGACTGCAGCCTACCTATTTGTGAAGTCTATCCTAAATCAGGTGTAAATCTAACTTATCTGGCGCTTTCGTGGCCTACCTAGACAAAAGTACAACTTCATCTTATACATACCTCTATTACAGGTCATTAAGTCATACTATAGTTATTGTTTACCTGAATCCTCAATGAGCTTCTTGAAGGTAGGACCTTTACCTTATCTTTGCATCACTAATACCCAGTATGCCTTTTGTTTATTTAACAAATAAGCGCCAGGCATGTAACTGGAGCTTAGTATTTATTGAACTGCTGAATTAATTATCTTTGGGATAAAAGCGAGGGGACATTTTCTAAGGGGTGCACATTCCAGGCAAGGTAACTTTTTTTTTTTTTAAGATGGGTCTTACTCTGTCACCCAAAATAAAGTGCAGTGGTGGAATCTTGATTCACTGCAACCTCCACTTCCCAGGCTCAAGTGATCCTCCCACCTGAGCCTCCTGAGTAGCTGGGACCACAGGTACACACAACTATGTCCAGCTAATTTTTTGTATTTTTGGTAGAGACTGGGCTTCACCATGTTGCCCAGGCTGGTCTTAAACTCTTGAGCTCAGGTGATCTGTCTGCCTTGGCCTCCCAAAGTGCTGGGATTACAGGTGTGAGCCAACATGCTTGGCCCAGGGTACCGTGTTTTAAAACATGTATGTAATTAATTGCAACTTATATACATATTTATAAGTTTTACGATTTACATTATAAAAGTTATTTCCCTCCACCCAGTCAACTCTTAGTTATTCAAATCATTGGAGACAGACATCACATGCACTTACTCAAACTAATATTTACTGAATGCCAAGCACTGTGCTTAGGTCCTAATGCCAGAGTGATGAGCAAAAGGATAGAATTTGCTTGTATTATTTTTTCAAAAAATCAGTATTTGACACTAAAAATACTTGTGTTTTATAAATGTATATACCTCCTGTTATCTCATTTGAGATACAATCTAAATTTTTATATCTAAGCAGTCTTTGATTAGGTAGTATCCCAGGATCATCTGGATACAATGAAAAAAGGGAGAAACTGGTCTCAGGTGAAAACTATGTGGCAAATAATACATAAGAAAGGCACACTAACATTATTAACTGCCTAATCATCAGATGCTTCCAGCTTAAAATTCACAAACTATCTCTTTTACATGTAAGAAACTAAAGCAAAGCCAAGTACTTATACATATGCAACAAAAACTGGATTTGTTCTAGACATCTAATTATATAAGAATCCCTCCACAAGAACTGCATTGTACAAAACAGAGAAACTCAGAGAAAGCTGTTTTATATTACATCGTCTTAATTTAGTATATAAATACCCATCTCATTTTGTGATACTGAAAAACAAGTGCCATTTACATGCTTAAAAAAAGATAAAACTCTCCATCAACTGCAATGCCAAGAGCATGATAATAGACTGCTTTGTCTTCCAAAGAATGAAAGTTGCAGATATTCCGATTTAATGTTAAAGTTTAAACCATAAGTCAATGTATAAAGCTTTGAAAAGCCAGGCACAGTGGTGCACTGCCTGTAATTATAGCTATTCAGGAGGCTGAGGTGGGAGGACACTTGAGGCCAGGAGTTTGAGGTTGCAATGTACCATGATCTCCTGCCTGTGAAAAGCCACTGCACTACAGCCTGGGCAACACAGAAAGACTGCTTCCTTAAAAAACAAAACAACAACAACAACAAAAAACAAGACAAAACAAACAAAAAAAAAACACCTTTGAATGATTCTCCTATGACCAAATGACAAACATTATCCACCTGGCTATTTTTTAAGCATTTGAAATTACAAAACCCCAAACCAAATTTATCTTGATCTCTCAACAGGCTGATCCTTCTGATTCTCTTATTACATTGGTAACTCTCTATAAGCCACCAAGTTTTATGAGTTAGAGACTGATTCCATCTCCTTTATAAGACTTCTAATTGTAGCAACATCTTCATCTTAAAAGCCTTCTTTCCTAGCTACACACTTTCTCTAAAAGATCATTAGTTTCATCAGTGATTTCTTCTGACTAGTTCACTTCCAGGCTCTGAGGTACAAATGCTTGTCATACACATCTGTATGTCTCAGACACCTCAACAATGTCAAAAACAGCATATCCAAACCCAACGTATTATTTCCTGTTGGTTCTATCTCCACTTACTTTCAAATCATCCCGTTCTTTCCATCTTCTATGCCACAACTGCAGGCCAACCCATGATCATCTCTTGCCTGGGATCACTCAGTAATCTCATTAGCTTCCTTGCTTCTACTCTTCCTCATCTCTAATCCCTGTCTTACACAGTACCCAAAATAGTATTTTAACAACATAAATCATGTCACTTCCCAGCCTGAATCTCAGAATAAAATTCAGAGCCTTCACAGCCCAGTAAGGCCAGAGATCATGTCTCCCCTTTCTTCTTTACACTTATAGCCACACTGGCCTCTTTTCCACCTTTGAAATAGGTAAGCCGGGCGCGGTGGCTCAAGCCTGTAATCCCAGCACTTTGGGAGGCCGAGGCGGGTGGATCACGAGGTCAAGAGATCGAGACCATCCTGGTCAACATGGTGAAACCCCGTCTCTACTAAACATACAAAAAAAATTAGCTGGGCATGGTGGCATGTGCCTGTAATCCCAGC